AAACTCGAGCGCCCTCGAAAAGGTGACTATTCTTCTTCAGGAAAAAAAAAAAGAAGAAAAATCAACTATTCGAAAGCGCTCGAGTTTTGGGTCTTATTTTAAGTTTATTACAATGAGTATTTTCATTTTAACTTGCTAAATTAAAATAAAACACATTTCTCATAATGAAATAAAAAATTATCGAGTAAACATTAATCCGATTAGAGACATCTTCAGGGAAGTCCTAAAAACGGCTATTTTCTCTGTTGATAATAGGCAGATTCTACTCGATCCCAGATCTTCTTGACGGATGTCCGACACGTAACCCACTTGACTGAGGTCTGGGGTTTCCCCCAGTTTAGAATTTAAACAACTGACTATTTGATTATTTCAAGAAGGGTATCTAGGTTTTTCTGACATTTTCGTTAGGTTAACTGAGAGTGGTATCAGTTACGTGTACATATAAGGATATTTTATCTTATTTTTTCACATGTGAATGATTAATTTCAGTATTATTTGAACGTATTGCATGACATTCTTCTCCTAGCATAACGAGTTTTGAAGATATTAGTGGCTCTTGTATGTATTGTGCATAGTGGCTCTTGTATGTATTGTGCTCCTAAATTCTATTCCTTGTTGATTTTTTTGTTTCTCCAATGTATTCAAATTCACATTCACAATAGCTGCTGTAAATGGTGTTTTTTCTCTCCATCGGGCCTTTCGACGGTTTGATGTGTATTATTTATGATCACATTGTGCTGTGGCTTCTAAATACTGTTCTGACTTTATGTTACTTACATATTCTCTGTATCTTTTAAAGAGAGATCTGACATCTGTTTATCTATAACTTTCTTCCTGGTTATTTCTATCATTGTCAAGCTGTTGGTGAAATAGTGTGTCAAGGTGCATTAGTGAAGAGGCTGAATACGACAAAGGTAATCATTTTGTTTTGTCAGGGTACAATGGTTGATTTTACAATTTTCACAAAATGGGCTGAGCTCCTAACATGTCAGGATATTTTACATATTAATGGTGACTTTATTTATAGGAGATATTTATAGCTAAGGGATGGTATGGCGAATCTCTATAGTTAACTATGGGCTGTAAAGAGTAGCCGACTTGTTTGTAAATTTAAATAAACCATCTAGATATGTGAAGTGCAGCGGTGGTGTATTATTAGTGTTCAGACAGTCTCTGTTTCAAGTTCATTCTGATGTTTCTTGAGGAGTTGGTTAACTTTCTATCTGTATTAGCGGTTAGATTAGACTTTATCTTCACGCAATGGCCATCTTCAACTGATGTTTGGAGTTGGATGGAGTGTTCCTTTTTGTCCATGATTACATTGGCAATATCTTAGTTTGCTGGTAGAAGTTTTTTATGGTGTTATCTTTTTCAATTGTTTAAGAGTAATTTTTTTCTGATAGGTTGATTTTATTGTAAGCTTTCTGAACTGCTGACTTTAATTTTATTCTGAATTATTTTTCTTTTTCTAGTAGGCTATAAATTGTATTTTCTGGGGCTGTAGCTATATTTAAAGTGGGCATTTTGTTTTGTGTTAGGGCGAAACTTAGCTCTTTACTTAGTTCACTTAGTCCGAATTCTATTAATGATCGTTCATTTAACTTTATTACAGTGCCTGTAGGTGTTTCTATAATATTATCAGGATTCTTGTTTTTAGAATCGATGAGTAAATATAATTCCTTAATGTAAATTCCTTTAGTATGTGTGTGTGTTGCCATGAAGTATGAATAGCTGAGCGTATCTTAATAGAGTCTGCGTTGTCCGTTGTATTTTCTGATATAGAATGTTAACGTTATTCTTTATCTTGTGTTTATTTATATCGTGATATTTTATCCGATCTTGAAGCATGGTTTTACAACATTTCTGATGGAACCTCGACTATTATCAATAATAAAACTTTCCTAAAGGCAGCAGAATTTAAGCAGTTAAAACGTAGGGTTAAAAACTAGTCAGTAATTACTATTTATTTATAGAAAAAAGAAGTAGTAATCTATAATTAAAGTTATGTGATTGTATATTTTAGTAATTATAACAGCGAATGATATCTTATCACCACAATCTTATTGTAAGCAAACAACAGTATTATTCGAATGTTTTATCTTGGAAAGTCTATGGTATAATCAGTAATAAATTTAGCAATGGCAGCATTACACTGTTGAATGGTCGGAAAGTCGCTGTGATTCAAATATAATAGGTACTAAGCAGGTCGCTCGTCGTTTAAAGCATTTGTAAATAATCAATAATTACTGGATTTATTATTGCTTAAATAAAGATGTTTTAATTAGAACAAAAGCTTAATGCTGTTTTAATTTTTAAATTGTTTTAGTATAAGATGTCAGTTTATGTGTTTGATATTAAATATTCTATTATTGATTTTAATAGTTTGGTTTCCCTGGAGTTCAGCTTATGAACATCAGCGATATAACTCTCATTAAAACGTTATTTGCAGCCCGGCATCGCCAGGTGGTTAGGGCGCTCATCTTGCAATCTGTGGGTCGCGGGTTCGAATTCCCCTCACACCAAACATGCTCGCCCTTTCAGCCGTGGGGACGTTATAATGTCACGGTCAATCCCACTATTCATTGGTAAAGAGCAGCTTAAAAATTGGCGGTGGGTGGGGATGACTAGCTGCCTTTCCTCTAGTCATACACTGCTAAATTACGGACGGCTAGCGCAGATAACCCTCGTATAGCTTTGCGCGAAATCCGTAACAAACAAACAAAAACGTTATTTGCAAACACCAAACGCATTTGAAATTTTACATGAATTTTATATGGTAAAATTTTAAAGTTAATAAGTTACTGATTCAACTTTATTTGTTATCTAATTAATTGTTGAAGCTCACTATCGGGTCATGTGAAAATAATCCTTCATCAAATATAAATATTTTTCTTTGTACTGTGATTTTTCTCCTTCCCTACATGATTGGACTATAAATAGATTTCAGTATCGATAATGAAATCAAATTTGATTTCTTCATCAGTGTAAAGTAATCATCTTTTTCTCCAAAGAATTAAGAATAAAACTTTTCCATTTATTCAGATGAATGTTATCAAAGATAATCAGAAAGAAACTTGAATATTCGTTTGTTGGAACACATTAATAAAGAATTTAACGTTTTTATACGTAAAACTAACAAAGCCAAAATGATATAATAGAAAAGATATAAGAAAGTGAACAAAACAATTAAGAATGCTCGTTAAGTTAGTCTTAAGAAGTCAGTAATGAATAAACATTCATTGGTTAGGGTCTTTTGACTACTCGTATTTTTATGTTGTTATCTAACGTGCTATTCACCTGACGGTGGCAAGTTAGTTTGAAAGCACGTTGTACCATAAAACTAACTAGTGAATCATAAATTAGCTATTTTTGGCTGTTTTTATTTTACGTGTTGGTTGTATTATAACTAGTGAATCATAAATTAGCTGTTTTTGACTGTTTTTACTTTACTTGTTGGTTGTAAATTATAACTAGTGAATCATAAATTAGCTGTGTTTGACTGTTTTTACTTTACGTATTGGTTGTACATTATAACTAGTGATTCATAAATTAGCTATTTTTGACAGTTTTTACTTTACGTATTGGTTGTACATTATAACTAGTGATTCATAAATTAGCTATTTTGGACTGTTTTTACTTTACTTATTGGTTGTACATTATAACTAGTGATTCATAAATTAGCTGTTTTTGACTGTTTCTACTTCACGTATTGGTTTTACATTATATGAAAATTGAACATAAAATTTCCTACATAATATAGAACAACATATTATTATTCTCAAAGTGTTGCATAAGAAATAAGTGTTATAAATACTGATTGATGAATTGAATTAATTTTATCACATATATAGTTATAATACGATACATAAACAAGTTACCTGTTTATCAGAAATATATTAAACATACCAGTGATGTTACCAGATAACTGTGGTATTCGGTCATCATTCCAATATCTTGTGCCTGTAACATAGCCAGCGAAAAAAGAAGAAACAGAGAATAAATCATATACCTTCTAAACATTTTCTGTTAAAATTAATCAACATTAATAACACACTCGTAATAGAGTGGTTATTGGAAAGCAGAGAGCTACACAATGATCTATCTGCACTGCTATTCCTGCGAAGATCGAAACCCAACTTATAATGTTATAAACACTCAAGGTAAGCTCCCCTGGGGAAATGCTCATACTGTCAGTTTTAACAGTATATTTTGTAATTTTTGATTGATTGCTCAATCAAACAATGAGATACAACAGATATTAAATGTTTCTAAAAACAAGGAGATTGGTGGGTAATAATGTGAGAAATAAATTCTGGTGACAATATTTGTTTGTGTTGTAATGGGTCAGAGATCTGATGCGAAAAAGAAGAAAAAACTGACTTTTATGGTATTCCATCATCACAATCGTTTTATCTAAATCTATGCTGAGCATAAACCTCACAATGATTTTACATAGGAGCTTCAATTGGTTCACAAATGTTTTTTTATACACATAGTACTGTAATTAGGTTGAAGGAGAGTTATTCCACTCTTGGATGTTTCCCTATATAGTCTTACTGCGATATTTCAAGAAATTTAAATCTGAGGTCGGACTTTCTTCAGCTCTTCTGTTTAAAATTGATAAATGTCCTGATTAATCATTAATTACATTAGTCTGTTTTATATGAATTTTAATCTTATTTTAACATTAAATCATAATTTGTCCAAAAAAAATCTAACTAAAATTAAAAGACATTACTATTCGATATATTAAGTAAAAATATAGATCAAAAATCAGAAGTAAGTACTTTTTTTTACCATAATTTGTTTTATATTATAGTTTCTAGAAAATTCCTATATTATAATTGGAAAGTCTTGTAAGTAATTAAAAGCATATAATTTGAACAAAAACGACTTTTTGTTAACTATTTCAAGAGGATGAATCATTACAAATTTGTTATTATGAAATGTTTTAAAAAATCAAAAATTGTTTTTAAAACTTTGAGGTTACTAAAAAAAAGGTATAATATGACTCAAAATTATCAAACATAATTCGCTGTAAAAAATTACAATTAAAATAATATCGAAGTCAACTTACAATCACCACTAAAGAGTAGTAAAAACGTTTCTACAATAGGATCCCAAAATGAAAAGTATGTAGAATAAATAGTTATACGAACAAAACAAACCGCAATAAAATTTACGAAACATTTTCTTCCAATAAATACATTAACGAACTATAGTTAAGAGGTAGAAAGAAATAACATTAACGAAAACAAAATTATATATACAAAGTTTTCAAGCAAAACATTACAATTAAATCTAGGAAACAAAGTAAATTAGAAATCATCTGGACAAAAAATTTTAAACAAATTTAAAGTAACTAATGGTACTGAAGTACTAAATATCTTTTATAAGTAATATCAAATACCAGACAGTAACAAATTTTAATACCAACCTATGGTATAGAGCAGGAAAGAAGAATTAAACAACGAAAAAGAAACATATTCCTATGAAAGCAAAAATAATAACATAAGAACGTTTGTTGTGTTTGAAGTTAAGCACCAAGCTACAGAACGGACTATCTGTGCTCTGCCCACCACGGATATCGAAACCCGGTTTCTAGCGTTGTAAGTCCGCAGACATACCGCTGTGCCACTGGGGGTATAAATAATTGAACATATAAAACAGAAAGAATTACTTAAGTTCTGGAAGACATACCTAAAAATACAGTAAATGCAGGTAGATACAATTCAAATAATATATAAGCAATACTAAAAATATTATCGACGTAAAAAAGGATTTCAATATTTTACGAACCTGTTTAAAGAATTCTTTAATTTTCCAGGTAGAAATATCCAGAACTATGTTTGCTTCTCCTTGTTTGCCTATATCTTTCGCAAGCTTTTTGTAACTCATTCCTGGTTTCAGTTGACGAAATGAGATTTTCACTGATTTATTTGTGTCTCTCTCCAAGAGTTTTTTGAGCTTAATAAGAGCTAAAAGAAATAATAATCGTAAGTAATTATAAACTGAAAGTTAACAATGATTGTTATTGATATTATAACCTGAAAGCTTTCATTTAATAGTTAATGCACCATACTGAGAGTGAATATTATTTATTAAACCTAACAACGTAATTATTAATCCACAAGAACATGCCCAAAATAATTATATGGTAAGAGTTTCCAGATAAAAGTTAGAGCACCAGAACATATTGAATATAACGCTACATTATTAAAACTATCATCCTGAAAAACAAATGTTTAAGGTTTTATCCAAATATTCTTCATTTGGACTTATTTGATACTGAAAAGCGTTTGAATGTTCTATGTTATTTTTTTGTCAGAAGATTTTGTTTTCTTGTTTCCTAGGTTATCGAGAGTGAGTTTCGCAAATGAAGCTTAATTCACGTTTGCAAAAATTTAAGTGACTCTAGAAAATCAAGTCTCTTCTCTACTTTAAAGATACGGCAGTAAATCGTATATAAGAGACAGCATTCATTACTCTAATGCTTATTGATCTTCTCTTCTATATATATTTGTAGACAGAATCTTAAGTATAGAAATTCGTTCTGAAGAATCACATATAATGAAGCCCTATTCAAAAGGAAATGGCTTTGGGTTTTTGAGATCTGGTCCTGAAGCATACAAAGTATTTTAGAAACAGATCACAAACAGTACTGACAGTCTAATAAAATTTTTAACGCTTTTTTAAACGTTTATAAAGTATCTGTTCATAAAGGGCCTCCGTACATACAATGTCATTATGATATTTGTTTTTGTATTGACGGTATAATATGATATAGGTTTAAATGGAAAATTTACCAAAGGTAAAAATCGTAATATATTTCAGTTTCACCAATTCAAAATAGAATAATCTTGTTAGTTTAATTATGAGTAATATTTGTCAGGTTCTAACCTTCATTACTTTCGTATACTATGGTATAAGACATCCAACCTCTTGTGTCCAATATATCTCGAAACGCTTTACTCAGGAGCTCTGAACTAGGGTGTAGATTCAACGAAAAACCATTAGGGACATTAGCAATGTAATCCGACTGCAACCGAACGTGGGGTATTTCTATGGAAGTCGAAACTGATTGGATAAGAGAGGAGGATGGTAGAGTTGTTGGACCAATGAAACCAATAATTCCAGAACTCAGCTGTTGGCATGCTATAGAAAGAAATATCCAAGAACGACACTTAGTTTGTGATATTACTATATTAGAATCTTTTATTACGATTATTTTTATTACGATTTTCAACTTATATGTTATCAACGCAATAAATCAATTTAAAATTTTCTAAAATATGTATTTTTACCGGATTTTAAAAACATATTTGAAATTTGAATGCGTGTTGTTAGCATTGCCGGTTTTTTTCATGAATAGTTGTTAAGGATACAAAAAATAGTGAATATGCGTAATCCAGCGTTTTTAGTGTAGAGTTAGAAGATTCAAACAGATTGTTAACGTCTATAGCAAAAGTAAAAACTGAGAGAGAAGAAGGTTGCACTAAAAATATAGGTGACGAAAAAGAACCTTAAGAAATAGCGTTAAGCTTGTCGAAGTTAGGTTCAAGGGTTCTTTGCAGGAAAAGCACGTGAGCAGAAGAATAAAAAATTGAAAATGTCATATATTTCTTTGAACAACGTAGTTATGCTGTTATTTATAAACGTTTGTTTCTTTGTTGAACACAAAGCTGCATAAAGGCTATCTGTATTCTGCCCACCGCGAATAACGAAAGCCGACTTTTAGCTTTATAAGGCAACAAACTTGTCGCTAAGTCATCGGGGAACGTTGGTAAAAGGCAATAAACCGGTCCTTGTACTGGTTGCGTTAACTAAAAATATTTAATATGTTTTATATCACAATTTAAAAAGTGTGGCAAGCTTGTATGAAATACAAAGACTTAAAATATTGAAAATTAAAGTTAAGTTATTGAGTTTATGGTCTGGTAATTAGGCCGATCGACTAGTATTGTGCGGGTCGCGGGAGTGAAATCCGGCGCCAAAAAAGCTCGTTTTTTCAGTCGTAAGGGTGTTACAATGTGATGATCAAACCCACTATTCTTTGATCAAAAATGGTCCACGAGTTGGCGGTGGGCATTGCTTGCCGGTTGATTTCCTTCTAGTTATTATAATGTAACGATCAAACTCACTATTTCCTGGTAAAAAGTAGCCCACGAGTTGGTGGTGGGTGTTGCTTGCTGGTTGACTTCCCCTCAGGTCAGCAGATAACCGTAGTAACTTAGCTTTGCCTTAAAGTTAAACAAATCAGCAGACTTGTATATGCGCCTTATGAAAACACACATTAAAATAGTTGCACTAGCTCTCATTTAAGGCAAGGTGAATAGGAAAGTTCGTTAACTGAAGAGTGTAAGCTGACAGCGGAATGAAATTTTTTTGTTAAAAAATAAACATTTTCTCTGCATGTAATCTCGGCAATGATGTGCTTGTTTAAAGTAAAAAGGCACTCACAATTGATATCTCAATTACATTAAGTCCGTATTCACGGTTAAATAACTTGTAGATGTAAAAAATAAAAATAAAAACAAACACTACTCATGAAAACAAACTGTACAATATTTCATTTTCTACTTTCGTTCCTTACCCAAGGAATGATCAGACTAGGCGTAAGAAGATAAACTTTTGAGTTATCCGCTATGAGAACTAATTTAACTGAAACTATTTTATGTTAGAGAGCCAGTATTGTTAAGATTGCTATATTTGTGTTCACCAAATTAATAGATATTCCAGAGAAAGAAAACTTATAACTTATTGAGGTTCTCAATCAGGTTTGTTTTTCATACTATATTATAATGAAAAAGTTTTTGAAAATTTTTTGATACTTTTTCCAACATCATGAAAACAAAAACTATATATATATGTATACTTTGAACCAACGACTTAACGACAGAAGGATGAATACGTTATATTAACAATTTTGGAACCTCTCCAGGTCGTTACAGTTCATTTCTCTGCGTCTGGACATATTAGACCTGGCGATTGCTCTTCTTAACACTAGCCCTGCAACATAGTTTCCATTTAAAAAGACTACAATGTCTATTATGTCCAAACCACACCACCACTCCCTGTGTTTGTTTCATTATCTATCCAATGTACAAGAATGACAGTTTCCATGCTGTTTGAATGGCATGCCTTTATATGGGATAGCATGAAAATCTATTTCAGACACGTGCGGAAAACAGACAATATGTCAGACTATTCGTTTTACTCATACCTTATAAAATTCATTGTTTAAGTTTTAATATTTTACTCAGCCTGTTTTATACCTGCTTGGAAAGTGTGAAACGTGTCTTGAGGCTTGAGTTTGCTGAGTCTCATAGACAACTGCTTTGTGGGAAGAATACTACTATCTTCATTAATCTCATCTACACCATGTTGAAATGCATTTTCAACTTCTTTGTCATCGTCGTTCAACAATCCACCTGGAATAAATTTAGATCATTTTAACGTTAATAAAAGGTGAACCGATTATTCAAATCAAGATGAAAGTAAGTTAGTTAAACTACTACCCACTGTACATTTTATTTTATTGATATGTTTTATTTCCTTTCTAAATTATTGAAATTAATAGATATTTCTCTCTTTTTTCTAACTTACGTGCTGCAATTTTAGTCTTTTCGTTTTACGTGATATTAGTCATTTTACTGAAAATTAAATTATAAATCCTGATATCATGTTTACGAACAAAATAACAGTAATTGGTTATAGTGATGCAATTATAAATCAATTCCTAAACATAAGTTCTATATTAAAATCACTATCTATTCTGAATATATATAGTTATGTATACTGTTACATATTTAGATTACCTTTCTGAGACAGTTATGAGTCGTTTGACATAGCTCTTATGCTGCTACAAAACAATTACATCTTTACGTTGTTACTGTAAGTATTTTTAGTTTTTAAGCAGTAATTATTTTTAACTTGTTGTTGTTGGTCCTCCTACTTGGGAAGTGTGATCTTGGTGCTTGCGGTTTGTAAACATAGTGGATAACAAGAATAAACTAGTAGTATCAGTGTTGAATATTCTTGAAGTTTCTATATAAATATAGAATCATTGTGTGAATAAAATGAATCTTAGAACACCATACATATAATGTACACTCTACCATTATATGAAGTCTTACTTTTTCGGTTTGTCATTATCCAGGGTTACTTATGAGGTTGAATTCCCCGAAACCTGAATAATTCAGTACAAGTGATAAACTGAATATTCTATCAAGCTTCACATTTATTTTTTAGTATAATAGATCAGTGCTTCTCAACCTTTTCCAATATCATTCCCTCCTATAAGTTTTTCACAACAGCTCACTCACCCCCAGTTCGAAAAAGGACAAAAAAGTAGTAAATTAAAATGCAAGATTCTTTATACATCAAGCTACAGCTAGAATCAATACAACATAAAATAAACAAAACCTCTGGGCGAACCATTTAGCCAGTTGAGAAGCTCTATTATAGATAACTGGTTTGCAGCAAGAATAGTTTTATTTGGTATACAACAATTACAACCTTATGTTGTTTAAACTAGTAAAACAATGACTTGCTATATATATTTTTCAGCTACTAGACAATAGTTTCCTTCATTTTTTGTTGTGAATCTGTTTGAGGTTTTACTTGTAGCTTAATTAACCAAATGATAATTACTTTTATAAGTCAGTTGTTGCTATTGGTCAACTATTACCAGTAGTTGTAGTTTTTGTCGCTTTATGACAAATACTATCCTTTTTTGTCATTCTCTTTCCTTCCCCATGATGTAGAATATGTAGTTGTACCCGTTAGGCAATAATTACTTTGTCAAAATACTGTGGTGAATCAATTGTGGTATATTTTGAAGGATTTTTAAGCAGAGTAGATTGAAATGTATTTGTAGATTTTTTATAGGATGCATCTGCCTCAGCCCCATAAGCTTGAGTACTTATAACTATATAATTCGAAGTTCGATACCTAAGAATAGCTCATTGTATAGCTTTTGCACTTACAAAATACAAATAAACATAAGTAGTACATAGACCAAAGCATCGTCTACTATACACTGCAATCCGTAAAAATTCAAAACCTAAGCTCCAGCATAGTCCTCTTGTGTGACAGAGGTAAATCTAGGGACTTAGAACGCTAAAATCCAGGGTTCGATTCTCCGCGGTAGACACAACAATGTAGTTTTGCTCTAACATAAACAGACAAAATTCTAAGATAATATTTATTTCCTTACCTTGTCATTGTGGATCTGCCAAGATACCAACTGCAATGACTATTTTTTATCTACTGATGGATCTTGGTCCATCATAATATAGTCTTAATTACTAGACGCTAGTTAGTTTTTAAGTTGTTGTAGTCAATCGCTCTATCACAATATGATAAACATATGTGTAGTTTCAACTATTAAACAATACTTTCTCTATTGAGCTGTTTCGTTGATACCACTACAGTATGGTAGATGTAGTTTTTATTCATAGATCACTATTATTTCATTAAGCTTTTTCTAAGGCTCTTTCGTATTTTCATATAACATATATTTCCCCCAAAAGTGACAAGATAGGTCCACAGGATAACGAGATATTCGATATACTATTTACTGCGAAATAATTTTGAGTTCTCTAAGTAGTAAGTTTGTGAAAAATAAAGAAAGATAGAATGCAAGTACACAATCACTAAAAGCAGTGTTTAATAAATTACAAAGTATATGCGGTTCTTATATGTTACATAGGGTTGTTGCCTTCATTGGAGAGTTATGTTTGAAGTCATGCCATAATGTTGTAGACTGATTAACTCACTTGAGATCGCATACTAGACTAATTCTATTAAGGTGATGGTTCAGACTGAATACATGTTACGTTATAGATTTACCCAGAGTGACTAGCGTTACCCATATGAACCCAAGAAGGCATAGGAGAAGGCACAACCTCAAGTAATTACCTGACTTCCAGAGATAAATACAACTGTGTAGCTTCACATACTACAGCTGACTTTACAAAAGTCAAAAGGTGATATTGTAGGTGAATGACCCAGAACAATAGGTACTAGAATAATTTACTGATCTTTTTGACCAACATGTTATGTGGGAATGCAGATTCCTGCACAATTAATTCATTCTGATATATATACTTATATACCTTAGCTTCCCTATGATATACTAATTTTTAGAGCATAACTTATGTATATTTTCTTATAGCAAAGCAACATCAGGCTATCTGCTGTGTCCACCGAGGGGAATCGAACCCCTGATTTTAGCGTTGTAAATCCGAAGACTTACCGCTGTCCCAGCGGGGGACAGAGCATAACTGCCTCATTGAATTGTTCTTTTGGCGTTCACTAAACCCTCCCCCCCCAAAAAAAAATGAAGATTCAGACATGCACACAAACAAATGTTAATTATGATGGTATCAAAATAAAAGCTGTATTTTGTTTTCAGAAGTCTTATCGAACGTGCTTAAAGGAATTTTTATAAAGCAAATACCAAGATGGCAGAATGATACAACTGGTCATCATCTTGTCTTTGTTAGAGCTATTTGTCCAATACATATTGTAGTATTTAGTTTAATCTTCAGAAATAAATGTTTCTTTATCTTATATACTTATAAGCATATTCAGAGTTTTAGTTAAAGTTTTATGTCTAGAATGAAACTGGAAAAAACGTAGGCGTAAATATATGTGCACCTTTCATATGTAAATATACTATGTGATTTTTAACTCCCTTTTTTAACATACAAAAAGTTTTTAATTGTGTTGTCTTCACTCCACTTTTTCAAAAATGTCATTAAATTCCCTTAACTTTATCTGCCCATTGTTTGAAGTTATTCACCTAGAGAAACATCTTTTGTCTTCTCATGGAAAAGATAACAGTAAGGCAACCTATAGTGTATGAAATTATCATCTTTTCCGTCTGGGCAAATGTGGCGATAATGATTAAAGTAGCTATTTGGAAATTATTCAGTCTGGAACAAGATCTTAGAAGATTTACTTTGGAATACGGTCTCAGATAAGTAGTCTGAAATACAATGTTTATAGTGATATAGTTTGGAACTTCAGATTGCCTAGCTAGATCTAATTCTCCCGTATAGACAAAAGTCCATTGTTTCAAATTAAGTATACATTTTTATTGTATTGTCATAAATAAAGACTGCTCACTTTAATTGTTTCTTATCTTTAGTCTTTTTTTTTATTTATCAGGACTTCAGTAGTCAGAAATCATAGAATTACTTATCAGTAAATATCATGTTGAAACTCTTTATTAAGCAGGCTTATCCTATTGCTCTGAATGGGATCAGTCTTACCTTAAAGTTCAATACGTTAACGAAGTTTACAGAAAATGTAGGGTATTCTACTTCAGATCTCATCTTTATATCTTATTTATTTAACGAATTTCCCTAAACCTAATAAATTCAGATTTAGTATTCAACTATAGAAAATAAGTCTTTAATTGTTAAATTGTTTAATAATTGTTAAACCTAAAGTTCTTTGATTAATTAATGAAATATGCATTAAATGTTCGCTAAATCCGTAGATATGATTGAAATTGTATTCTTTATATTGCTTGATTTCCAATAGTGCTAATTGTGAAGAAGCAAAGTAACATAAATCTCACATTTTATAATATTTTACGTAATATACAATGTAGTCGTATATATGGTACAGAGAACAATTAGTTGAAAATACAAGTCTAAATTTATGAGTAGATATATAATTTTTACGTTAATATAAAAAGTACCTTGAAAACCTATGATGCGACTGAAGTTAAGAAATACATGTAGTTGATAAAACAGAAAAGTTAGTTATCATCTATTTTATAATGCAAAATGTATTTTCATAAACAATTAAGATACTGAAGAGAACCAAATAACTTTTTAAACAATATGTATACTTTAAGTGACTATTAAACTGTTAAATTAAAATTATTAAAGCTCTTGAGGATTGTGTGCGTGAGGTTTTGGGTGTGATCTCTAGAAAAGAAAGAATTGGATTATCACAGTGATATGTGTATATTGATGTTTAATATGTTAGATCAGAGGTTCCCAAACTGTGGTCTGAGGCCCCCTGTGGATCCGCGATATGAAATTATCATTCACTGAAAGAGTAACGAATAAAATAAAATGCCAAGACATCATAAAATTAATATTGTAACATATATAAATCCCAAATTAAAGGTAGTAAAATACGCATATGATACACCACTCATCCGCAAATACAGTAAAGAAGTTGAAGGGGTCCTTCGGTTGGCAAAGTTTGGGAACCCCTGTGTTAGGTGATATGTTACTAAAAATATGAAGTTATTAAACTCGTGCTCTACTCCAAGATGATAAATTGTAGAACAGCGGTTCGATTCCTCCAGGTGGACACAGCAGATATCTCAATATGGCTTTTAATTAAAACAAACGAAACTAGACAAATATGTATCTCAACACCAAATATGCCTCAAATATAGGGG